GCTCAGATGGGTATGACAGATACACAGATTCTTAATGAGATCCAACGTTTTCTGGCAGGTGAGCCTGCTCGCTGGTTTCAGGTACTTCGGCCACATATTGTCACGTGGGATCAATTTGCAGATTTGTTTCGGAAGGTTTTCTTGCCTTCGGATAATCAGGAGCAAATTTGGAGGGGCATTCTTGATCGCTTTCAATCAGGGGATGAACCTCTTCCAACGTTTGTGGCACACATGTTGTGTGAATTCAGGAAGCTTAGGGCTCCTCCACCTGAAGCAGAGCAAATTGAAGTGATTTGTAAGCATGCACTAGAAAAATATGCTGTTGCTTTATATGGGGCCAAAATTTCCACAGTGGGTGACCTACTGCTCCGTGTACACGAAGTGCATGCTGCCTTGGGCCACCGTGGGGGTGCTAGGGTTGTAACTGATGAAGAGACACGTGGTCTTGTGTACTGTTATTCATGTCATTTGCCAGGGGTGACAGTGCGCTCATGCCCGAGATGTAAACCACCTGCCAGGAACACCAGGAATCCCCCGAGCAGGATTCTTGATACAGCTGAATCGAGGGCTGAGGACCCGGGATTCAAATGGTACAATGACAAACGGGAAACGTGGGGGTGGGGGACTTTTTGTCGAGGCAACCCTCCCCCCAGACAATAAGCAGGCCTCAGGTTGGTGATCAAATTCTCCTCAAACCTAATTTAGGTCATATTGAAGATGTGTCGTCACCTTCCCTTTGGAACAATCCTTTTCATGTGTCTATTAAGCTGAAGAATGTCGAAATAATGGCCACTTTAGACACGGGTGCTTCATTGTCCGCAATAAGGGTTGATATATTGACATCCGCCCATGACCTCACACCTTGGATGTTCTCCCCTCTCAGATTGGCAGATGCGGGTACGTGTGAACCTTTGGGAAGTACCTGGCTGACATTTTGGTTTCAGGGACAACGTTTTTTCATAGGTTCATTGTTCTGCCGAACCTAACAGTCCCAATCATATTGGGGATGGATTTTATGCTTCGAGCCTCAATCAGCATCCATGTTCCTAGCAGAACAATAACCATCGGAAACATGGATGTGGATGGTATGGCGGGTCCGGATTGGGACGATCAAAATAGTGTGTTTGAGGGGCCAACTTTAGCCAGCCTACAGACCTCTCTAACAAAGGTGGAATTATTAATCAGTGGCTCGTCTTTGGCTGACGAGGAGGGACTGCAGCTTAGAGCGTTGCTGACGAGTTTTGATGATTTGTTTAGCAGCCAGTTAGGTCATACTACATTGGCTGAGATTTCAGTTGACACTGGCTCTGCGAGACCTATCAAAGACAGCCTTCACTTCCCATTGTGGCCTTTTCCAATTCAAAATCATGCCGTTCGGTTTATGCAATGCACCGGCTGTATTCCAACGGCTCATGAACTCTGTTTTGGCTGGGCTGATATACAAGTGTTGTGCCGTATACCTTGACGATATAGTGATTGTATCCCCGACATTCGAACAGCACTTGGATGACATACGTGAAGTGTTTAGCCACTTACGGACGGCTGGCCTGACTGTGAAGCTGGGCAAGTGTCAGTTTTGCCGGGAGGAATTTAAATTCCTGGGATACAAAGTAACGCCTGGTGGCATCTTACCTGATGTCGACAAAGTACGGGCAGTGTCTGAGTTTGCCATCCCAAAGTGTGTCAAACAGGTCAGACAATTACAAAGTGACGCCTGGTGGCATCTTGCCTGATATCGACGAAGTACGGGCAGTGACTGAGTTTGCCGTCCCAAAGAGTGTCAAACAGGTGAGATCATTTTTGGGGCTGAGCAGCTACTATCGTAGGTTCATTAAGAATTATGCAAAGCTTGCAGAACCTTTGTGTGCACTGACACGAGATGCAACACCGTTTGTGTGGGATGATTCTTGTCAGAAGGTAATGGATGACTTAAAGTCGTGTTTGACCTCTTCACCTGTTTTGAGGTTTCCTGACTTTGGGAAGGCATTTTATATCCACACCGATGCATGTGATGCAGGGCTGGGGGCAGCACTAATGCAGCAAGATGAGGAAGGACGAGAGATAGTTGTGGCGTACGCGAGTCGAACTCTGAATAAGTCTGAGAAACCATACTCAACTCCAGAGAAGGAGTGTCTGGGGTTAATATGGGCTCTTGAGCACTTCCGACCCTACATTGAAGGTCTGCGTGTCACTGTATACACGGACCAGAGTAGTTTACAATGGCTGATGTTGAGGCCCAATCCCTCTGGTCGGTTGGCGCGCTGGTGTCTTCGGCTGCAAGATTTTGATTTCAGCATCAAGCACAAACCTGGTGTGGGAAATCGGGTCCCTGATGCTCTGTCCCGTAACCCCTTGCCTGATTGTAGTGGCCCTTTGGATGTGTTGCCTGACTATACCATTATAGCTGGTCTGGACTTGCGTATCCAACCACTACTTGAGTTAGGGGACAGGCAGCAAATACGGAAGTTTCAGTTGGATGATTGCAAAACTGGTGTGCTTCTTCGTAAGTTGGAGAATGTAGAGACTATTGAGGACGGTGATAATTTTGAGGGCTGTTACATGGTGCAAGACGGACTGTTGTACTACAAAGATGTGAATGTCCAGTGTGGTATGCACCCATGGAAAGATTTAAAGTTAGTGGCACCATTGGCAATACGGAGATCTATCCTAGAGTATTATCATGATCACCCTACTGCGGGGCATCTTGGTATAAAAAAAACCCTTACCAGGCTTAGACTGAGATTTTTTTGGCCTAAAATGAAAGGTGATGTGCGCATGTATGTATCTTCCTGCACAGTTTGCCAGCTCACCAAACCATCCCAACGGAAACCAGTGGGCTTGTTGGTCCCTGTGCATGCCAATGAACCCTGGGAGTATGTGGGGGTCTGAGGCGCATACCATTCAAGTTCCTGGTCTGAGTGGTTCTGATGCTGGAGATTCCAGTCTGGGTGTTCAGGAAATGATGGTCGGTGGTGATTTGGAGCTGAACCCATCATCCTGCATTGAGAGGGAAGATGACTTGCTTAATGATGGGCAGGCAGGAATGGTTGACTTTTGCCCGATGGTGCAAGGCACCGCAAGGGACGATAATGTTTTTCCTGATTCTTGTATTTTGGATGATCCCGTACAAAGCCCAGTACAGGGGTGTCACTACAATTTAAGGCCCAGAGTTCATCCCTGAGTCACAACAGACTGGTCGACAACTAAGTGGACAAATGAGTTTCATACTAAAAAAAGGGAGTGTTAATATTACTGTGAGGGGGCCTATAGATTTAAGTGTTGAAATGTTGCTGTTAGTTTCGGTTCTTGGTTACTTTCATAATGGTGTTTCTCTCTATACATGTTTGTGAGGGTACAACAATGCTGTTATGTTGTGTATGTTCCAATGGTGTATTTGATTCGGCCCAGTGTATTTTATTTTCACATTTGTTTTCCTTTCTTTTCTTTAATTTTTTTATTATATATTAGAGGCTATGTTATTATCTCATCAGGCAACATGTATGTTCCCAAGATGATGTTGATGCAAATACCTGTACTTGTCAGCTGCTATATCTAAGCATCTAACCATGTATGGTAGTTGTGTTAGGACGTCTGCCTGTCATTTACAGCTGAGGACAGCTTTTTTTTCTGAGATGTAATGGTCTGGGTGTCTGTCCCTTTAAGACCTGATTCGGGGTTTCCTCTGCCCCTGCACACCTGTGTATCTGCTGGGGGAAAACACATTGTACTTCTATCGTTGCACCTTCCTTTAACATTAATACATAGGTTGATGGTGACCTGCATCGTGTGTTTCTTTCTTCCATAACGCACAATAGGTTAGAGTACGACACAACAGACTGATTATGTGATACTCCACACAATGTGCATTGTGACATAATTGTGTGCATTTGACCGTTTAAGCGCAATAAGCTGTGAAAGAGAGCTTCCCCCAACCCACTAAAGTAAAACATTATATTGCGTCCCTCAGAGTCCAAAGAAATTATGCTTGATCACAGTGTCTCTTGTGACGTATGCGTGTCTCTTGTGACGTATGAGTGACGATTAAACTGAAACTGAAAGAGCGTATTGATCATGAGAAAAGTGCACAGGACCGATGTGGTTTCTTGAGATGTTTCATATTCTGAATTTAGCTGATGATTTTAATCTGCATACTGTCATCAAACCACACAAAGTCACAGCCATGCAGACATGTGATACATGAACGCTAGCATGCAGGTGTGAATGAGTCTGTTTGGTTAATTAACATCAAACTGTTCAGTGATTTAAAAAAACATTTGAATATTAGTGGAAATTAAATGACACTGAAGAATCTTTACTGTAGAAAATCCCAGTTCACATACTCACCTGTAATGTTTGCATGCCAAATGAAAATTAGCTTTAGTTTATCGTCTAATAATGAGCGTCCTGGAGGAATCGCTTATCCTAATTCAAAATGATTCTTACGGTTCAAAACAGATAATAAACAAAAAAATAAAATACAAAAGATTCTGGCCAAGAAATCTGTTCCATTTATTTCTTTTCAGTTTGAAGTACATTAAATAACTTCATATTTCAATAAACAAGAGCAAACCATGCTAAACGATGCAGCAAAGTCAGCCTCATTTGGCACTAAAATATCGGCCCATACAGTTTGTCACAGAAAAAAAGTCTTGAAGTGCTTAAAGTTACAAAGCTGAACTACTGCGCTCCTCTGACATTAACCAGCGCACACAAAGACAAGTCTATTTCTACATTTGCTCTGATGTGTTTGGCCTCAGAAAGAGTGGCTGTGAACTTCAAATGGAGTATACAGGCGTTTCTGGACCTCGAGTGTGTGAACTCAAATTCATGAATGAAGCAGACAATACACAGAACAACACACACACACACACCACTGACAGGCAAACATCACTGGATAAATGGATAAAACACAATCAACCACAGTTCTGGCTTGTTATGCGTCTTCATGCGTTTCAGCGATGGGTTATGGGCTCATTCAGAGTTAGCATCCCGTGTCCCAC